TCTCTCCCACAGAAGGCTATTGCTGATGGTATCCGGCCAATGGATGTTGAGTATCTTGCGTAGACAGCTATTTATAAATACTTGTACTTTCTTGATTGTGGTTGTTGTAGTTCTCCAAGTTTCAGCTCCATACAGTAGAACTGCCTTGACGTTCGTATTGAAGATTCTCACTTTGATATTGGTTGAAAGTTGTTTTGAGTTCCATATGTTCTTCAATTGTAGGAATGCGACCCTTGCTTTGCCGATCCTCGCCTTTACGTCTGCATCTGAACCTCCTTGTTCATCGATGATGCTTCCCAGGTATGTGAAGGACTCTACATCTTCCAGAGTTTCGCCATCAAGAGTGATTGGATTGCTGTTCTCCGCTTGAATTTGAGGACCTTGGTTTTCCCTTTGTGTATGCTGAGGCCTACTGATGCAGAGACTGCTGCTACACTGGCTGTCTTCATCTGCATCTGTTCGTGTGTACGTGATAGGAGGGCTAGGTCGTCTGCGAAGTCCAAATCGTCTAATTGATTCTGAGCTGTCCATTGTATTCCGTGTTTTCCTTCAGATGTTGAGGTCTTCATAATCCAGTCGACCACCAGAAGAAAGAGGAAGGGAGAGAGTAAACAGCCTTGTCTGACTCCAGTCCTTACTTGGAATGCATCTGTCAGCTGTCCTCCATGCACTACTTTGCACTGTAGTCCGTCGTATGAGTTCCGGATAATGTTGACAATCTTCTCAGGAACTCCGTAGTGTCGAAGAAGTTTCCATAATGTCCTCCTATCTACACTGTCGAATGCCTTTTCATAATCAATGAAGTTGATGTATAGTGATGAGTTCCACTCAACTGATTGTTCGACGATGATCCGTAGTGTTGCAATTTGGTCTGTGCACGACCGATCCTTACGGAATCCAGCTTGTTGATCTCGAAGTTGGGCGTCTACTGCATCCTTCATCCGGTTCAGCAACACTCTGTTGAAGACTTTCCCTGGTATTGACAGTAGTGTAATGCCTCTGTAGTTTTCACATTTGCTCAGATCTCCTTTCTTTGGAATCTTGACGAGGTGTCCTTCTTTCCAGTCCATTGGCACTTGTTCCTCCTCCCAAATCTTTTTGAATAGAAGGTAAGCATGCTTGTGGTTGCTTCGATGTCTGATTTCAGTGCTTCAGCTGGTATGTTGTCGGGTCCTGCTGCTTTCCCGTTCTTGATTTGTCTGACGGCCATTCTAATTTCTTCCGTCGTTGGTGGGTTGACATCTATAGGAAGATCTATGTGTGCTGCTTCGATGTCCGGTGGATTCATTGGAGCCGGCCTATTCAGGAGTTCCATCTGTTACGCTGTTGTTGAATTTCGGTGATTGGCTTGCCTTCTTTGTCTTTGACCGGCCTCTCTGGTTTACTGTATTTCCCTGCTAGTTTCTTCGTTGTATCGTGAAGCTGTTTCATATTTCCTTCTCTAGCAGCTTTTTCTGCCGTCGTTGCTAGTTCTTCCACGTATTTCTTCTTGTCGGCTCTAATGCTCCTCTTCACTTGTTTGTTTGCTTCTATGTATTCAGCTTGTGCTTGGACTTTCTCTGCTCGTGTTCGGCTGTTGTTAATTGCTGCCTTCTTGTTCTTCCTTTCTTTGATCTTGTCCAGTGTTTCTATAGAGATCCATTCCTTATGATGGTGTTTCTTTAGGCCCAGAACCTCTTGACACGTTGAAGTTAATGCTTCCTTGATGCCTTTCCAGTTGTCCTCCATACTAGTTTCTTCTTTCAGTAGATCTTGTAAGGCTTGGAACCTGTTGTTGAGAGCTATCTTGAATTCATTGAGTTTGTCAGTATCTCGAAGGAAGGCTGTATTGAACCTTTGTAGTGCTGTTTGTCCACTTGTCCAGTTCTTTTTAGCTTCAGTTTTAAATTGGCTACAACTAGGTGGTGATCTGAAGCTACGTCAGCACCTCTCCTGGTTCTCACATCTTCCATTGTCCTTCGGAATTTTTTGTTGATGCAAATATGATCTATTTGGTTCTCTGTAGTGTGCATACGCTTGTGTGGAAATATTGTGCCTCCTATGACTAATTTGTTGAATGCACACAAATCTTTCTCCATTTTCTTTTTTTGTCCCAGTCCATGTCGTCCCATAATATCTTCATATCCAGTGTTGTCTATTCCGACTTTGGCATTTAGATCTCCCATCAGAATAGTTAGGTCCTTTCTTCGGCATTTCTCAATGATTGACTGCAGCCGCTCGTAGAACTGATCTTTAATGTCGTCGTTGCTATCATTGGTGGGTGCATAACATTGGATAATATTCATTAAGATCCCCTCCTTCTTTGTTTTGAATGATGCTTTGATGATTCTGGATCCGTGAGACTCCCATCCTACAAGTGCATTTCGTGCTACTTTGGACAGCATAAGAGCGACTCCCTGAGTGTGTGGAGCATTTTCCTCTTCGTGACCGGAGTATAGCAGCATCTCTCCCGTAGCTAGCCTTTTCTGTCCAGCTTGGGTCCAGTGGGTTTCGCTGATTCCCAGTACTGCTAAGTTGTATCTCCTCATTTCCATTGCTATTTGACTGGTCTTCCCGGTTTCCCACATTGTTCGAACGTTCCATGTACCTATAAAAATTTTTGCTCTGGTTGTTAGAAGGGGCATCGGCCTCGTGGCTTCCGAAGGAACTCGGCTTTCACCATGAAGCGTCATAATTCTTCTAACTGAAGACCTTCTAACTCCCAGGGCAGAGTTTAAATGGTTTGAATTATTTTTTCTGGTAAGCGTTTTTTTAGCGAGTTAGTTTTCTACGGGATGGGGACGCTAACCCCATGCCCAACCCTCCTCCTTTACCCGGGCTTGGGACCGGCAGTAACCCTATAAGAGCTACAGGCGGAGTTCCAAGACGTAAAAGAAGGGTTAATAACAAATTAAGTGGGGCCGGGTAATTGACGACATCAGCCGAACGTTTTCAACAACTGTGCTGTGTCTCTTCTTCTGCTTTTTACTCGTTAACTCGGATAAATATTTTTGGTAAGGTTTCATCGGTTCCCCTAAATTGCTTAAAAAGCAGTATACTGTGATCATTAAAATATGACAAATCAGATTGAAAAATCTTTGAATTGTACAGTTTCAACTCACGAATGCGCGAATTGGGTGATCACATTTAAAATGCAACTGGTATTCTGAGTCTGACAATGCCTGTACACGTAATACTTTAAAGGTGAGACAAGTATTTGAAGTTTAACAATAACCTAACCAGTAACACTTTTCTATGATCGAAACGTGCCAACCCAAGTAAAATCAAAAGTCAGAGGTCAAGAGGTTCAAAGAAATATTTGGTAGAGTATCGATATATCGAGAAGTGACTAATCTGATCTGACTAGCGGTTATAGAAGTGAAACCTGGCGTAGTCACTCATGATCTGGTGCGGATGCACGACCAATCGCCTTCGGCTGGCTGAGTCCATTAAAACTAATGCAGTCAGCATCAGATGTCGAAGACTTACAGAGCTATTGACTTTGGGAATTTATTTACCGCTTCAACCTTCATAATCGAAGTACACCAACCCACTGAAGTCAAAAATCATATATGAAGTGGTTCGAATATATATTTTGAATGTTATCGAGATGGCTGTCAGAAGCAAGGGATGGGTAGCACAGCTTACCCACTCGGTGCAGATGCGTAACTGATCGACTTCACGTATGTGTGTTCAATAAATACAGTGAGGTCAGCATTGAAGTCGTGGACTTAAAGAACTGTTTATTACGAGACTTATTTACCACCACCATTTGTATACAAGGACACTAGAAACTCACTAGTAGTGAGCGTAGGGGTCCAACTAAGACCCGACCAAATCGCGCGTGAAGATGCCACAGGTATTCGGAGTTTGACAACGCTCTAACTAGTAACACTTAATATGAAGCGTTCCCACCAAGTGAAATCAAAAGACAGGAGCGAGAAGGTTCGAAGATAAATTTGATAGGCTATCAATATATCGAGGACCGTCTGATCTAATCTGGCTAGCGACTGCGGGGGTTGTTGAGCACGGCGTTCCCACTCGTGATCTGTCGCGGATGCATCACCGGGCGCCTTCAGCTAGGTGGGTCCATTAAAACTAATGTGGTCAGTATCCAATGTCGAAAACTTACAGAGCTATTTATTCTGGGGTTTATTTACCGCTACACGCCCTTATAAAGCATCCCGGGCTTCTTTTACGACCTTCCAGACCATTCTGGACCATGTTGATGCTAAAACATTTCTGACTTTGTATGCAGTATTCGTGCCTCCTAAACTCGAGTGCTGAGTGGAAATCAGTCCTAACGAAAAAAAGACAGAGAAATGTTGTAAAAGTTTCAAAGTACCGCAGCTAAGTTGATTTATGGGATGATGAAGCTCCCGTATGATGCCTTGCTGCTAAACGAAACTGTTTCGGCTTTCATATGGCAGGATCAGAAGTGACTCGATCGCAGTTTTCAAATTACTTAGTGCTAAATTTTCATTTGATATGCCTTAACTTTTCTTGTCTACCAGAACAGAAAATTTATGAGGAAAGTATTAAAAGGTTCACAAGCCCAGGACAAGTTACTTGTCATCTGACTACTGACTTTCCTACTGAATCACCAATGAATGAAGCTCAATACCTCAACACATGAATAAAGCTCCATTTGTCGACGCTTTCTAAAGAAAGTTGTCCACCACTGTCACGACTAACACAGGTCAGTTAACCTCTTATCCTTTCCAAAGTGAAAATGAAATTCTTAAATCAAAAGTTTAGAACTCTGGACCTGAAATGTTCTAATTGGTTTAAAATCCTAAATAAATGGTCCGCACTAAGTAATAAGAATAGTACCCAACTTCATTGGATCATGATAATGTAAGATCATTGATGGACTTATGAACTCGAAATATTGAATGTCTTATGTAGAGTGGCAGGTTTGAGGCTTTGTTTGTACGGTTGCTACTAAGTGCAACAAATCAATCACCTCAATATGGGTGATAGTCTGTGTAATATTGCTCGACATATTACATTACTAACGGATGACGACAGGTTCGTTCGAAAAAAAAGCATTGAAGTCTGTGGAAGACTACTTGAATACTAACAGCGATAAAGAAAGTACCATTTTTAGTTCAGTAGCAGAAAATCTGGCAAAGACTTTGAATGATCCTGTTGAGGTCAATCGCGAACTTGCAGTGAAAGTTTTAAAGCTGTCCATAGATGTAACTAATGATGTGACACCTTTGCTTGCATTATTAGTGCCTGTGCTGGTTATGCGTTTAGGACAGAAAGAAATAATAGAACATTCCGAAGAGATTCGCTACTCCACACTTAATCTATTATATATTTTGCTGAATAGAACTGATGAGATATCTCCATTTATCGATGATTATATCTCAGTAATTCAAAAGACACTTGTCGATCCGTATCATGAGATTAAAAAATTGTCTTGTAAAATTGCAGTGGTTTTATCGCAGAGAAAATGCCATCGATTTTATCAAATTTCGGAGTCTATTTTACTGCCTATGTTGTCAAATGTTACACATCAACATTCGAAAGTTAGATTAGAAACTGTGGTCGCTCTTGAAAAGGTTTTGCTGCACAGCCAGGGAAAGCTTGTTGAAAATGTTATCGCACCATTAACTCAAAGACTTTTTGATTCGTCATCAGCAGTTAGACGAGCTGTTATTGAACTTGTGGGCTCATGGTTGTTGGATTTACCTGATCGGTATTCATATCAAACAAGGTTATTGCCTCTGCTTCTTTCCGGTTTCATTGACGAATCAGATGAAATCCGTATGGTTGCTACAAAATTGTGGCATAATATAGGTAAGTTAGGAAGGTTGATTAAACTTTGTAAGCTTTCAGGACTAAAGTTCGAAAAAGAGAACGAAGAGCAGCTGAAAGATAAACTGGATTTCGATCACGGTCCTCCATTTCACTATCCATGTGGGTGCAAACGACCAATACTAGGTAAGTTTTCCAAGGAAGTAGTATCCTTACAAAGGTGTTTGATTAATCCAAAGCTTAAACTGCATCAGTAATTTGCTGTTGTCACATTAAGTTAAGAGTCATGATGTTACCTGTTAAAACTTTAATTTTGTACTTAATGTGAATTCGAACTGATGAACTAAATTTAGCGATACGATTCATTCTTTTCGATATCAACGCAGTTTTTCATAAGTCCATGTCCTTGTTTCAGTAAAGCGGAAAGTGTCTTATTAAGTTTGCTCCTTCATTGACAACCTTAGTACTGAATCGAATACAGTAAATTCCATATTACGTTTGACTAATTCCACAAATCATATTATTTATGTAAACACTGATGCGGGCGTTTTCTCACTGTTTTATAATCATTCTCAAAAAAAGACACCGAGCCAAAATTTGTGGTCAGGCAAAAATGACAGGATTTACTTTTCATATTAAACTAATTGGGTAGTTGGTTGACACAAGGATTACGCATTCAAATCAAGGGTCAACGTCATATAATGTAAGGCGTATCTATTCAGGCCAGGGGTGTATTTCAGAACCCTTCTCTTGAAAATGCTGATTGTCATGTGAGTACTTAGACGTTTCGGGAGCCATCAAATTTATGTTAGGGAATCACTTTTCGTTGACAAGTAGTTGACTGTTTCCTATCTTTAGCGGTCATTTTATTGAAGATATCAACAACACTAATAGTACACTTACTGTAGTTTTTTCTTCCACACGTTGAGCCAAGCTACTTTATTTTCGTAATAATATGCTACCATAAATGTTTATTGAAAGAGTATGCTTTTCTACAGGTTGTCGAGAGCTCGTCTACAGATCGGCATCCAAACTATTTCCAGGTTTATGTAAAGATCTTTCAGACTGGCAAGAAGCAACACGTTTAAAAGCAGCCAGTTTAATACCCATATTAATATTACATCTTGAAGAATCTGCTACTCAACATACTCAACATCTTTTAACGGGTATTGCAAATGGTCTAGCTGATGCACTTAGTCGAATATCACCTGTTGGAAATATGTCTTTAATAAATATGATGCCTATAGTTTCATTTCGGAAGGAAACATCTTCGTCAAGTACAACCACTGCTGACAGAGTAGACGTAATTAGTTTAGTCGTTACACATGCCACATCTCAGGTGTTTAGTTTATCTGAAGCCAACGAGGCAATTAAAATTATCAATCAATTATTTATTGCTGCTCAAGTTTTGGGTTGCATGATCCCCACTAAGGTGAGTTTTTAATATTTTTAGTACTTAGATTATCCGTTTGATACTTATTTCGTAAGAATGTTTCAGGAGTACAAGATAATTTTTTAGTGGAACAGTTCAGAGACCTCGAAGACCAATCACCATATATCACTTGTTCTTTTTTGAACACCAGTCTAGTGTTCTACTCAATTGAAATAAAGTTCATTGACTTAGTTTTTAGTCGAACTGATTTCTAGAAGTTAAAACATTCAAATATATCCAATGTTTACTTAATTCTAATCTAATTAGTAGAGTCCACGAGATAATCCTTCGGGGAAGGGCTGATCCCTATACTACTATCCACTTTATTTAACACATTAAAGCGGCACCTGTTAGAAAAATCAGTTTTTTTCTCATTGAATGATTACTGGCAAACGCCATCCTAGAAGCTTTTTACCTTTTGAGTAGAAAGTCATAATTGAGCTCTTCAAACTCGTTTTTCCAATCGCACCACTGAAACTTCAGTCCCAACCTATTAACAGCTATTTCAGCGTTTAAATCCTTCTTAATAACTTGGAAAAGTTTTAGATCATTATGTATGATGTTTAAATATTGGTTTTTATTCGTTGGTATATTAATATGAGGAAATGGTGTTTCAGTAAATAGGGAATTAGTTCTGTCTTTGATCTGCTGTTTTAAATGACTAACTCAGATATTTTGATTAGATTTACGCAAGTTTGTTTATTTATGACTTTTAAACATAAGGTCTAATATTTGCAAATTCCAATGCTATTTATCAATTCCCCTCAATATCTGTATAATTCTAGGTAAATTAACGAATTGTTCAAACAAATAGTGGAAAAAGATTTAAGTTAAACGTGGAATTGAAATTGAAGTGTATACCGATGTGTGATTTGCTTAAATGGATTGAATTACTAGGAAGATTAAAGTTCATGTATCCTGTTTTTTTAATGGATGACCCATTTACTGTTTACAGATAATTAGATCTCATGGAAGAAATCTCATTTACCTATCAAAATCTGTCCTAAATTTTTTGGATGTATTGCGGGAGAGTTTTTAAATCAAAAATAAGTATTAGATTAAATATACGCCTATACATTCTCATACTTGGTATGTTAGTAAACTAAAACGATTGCATTAAACTTAAGCACCAGCCAAAATTTTTTTCTTATTAGCAAGTTTACACGAGAAATGAGACTACTACTCTATAAATGCATACTTCTCACAACACCAGCAACTGACGATAAACATCAGTTACTCAAACCCACTCGTAAACCATTTATACACATTACAACCAATAAATCGATGAATATTTTCGCACCAATTTTTATGTCCTAAAATAAAAATGTTTTCTTGAGTTATGATTACGAATATTTTCTGAAACGTAAGCAAAGTCAAATGAGGGGTATGTACAAAGTTTTCTGCATACAGAATGTAAATTTATGGATATGTATTCCTATGGCTTCCGATGTGTCCAACAGGCAGATTATAGGAACATAGAACAAGTTCAACAGAATTATTTAGATAACCATGAGGCTAAATTTGTCTCGGTGTGGTGATCTGATGTCCCAGAGGGGAGCTTTTCGTCATTTGGAATTTTTTTCGGTCAACTAAACAGGACTATGTTCAGAAATCCGATAGTATGATTGCTTAGTTATACGTCTAGTACGAGTATACCAAAAGTATATCGATAAAACTCACAGCTGAAGGGAATTCTCAAGCAGTTTGTTCTGTCTTAACGGGAAATGGGGAGGGGTATTGTACCACCAACAGTTTAATCACATCAAGTACCGTAGGTATCATAAAGTTGCTGGAATTTCCGAGACTGGGTTTCCTGTTAATGGTAAAATACTTCTTCCACTCACCATTCGAGGTAATAAACTTTGTAGGGATTCTTTTTGGCTCCTGGAAATAAACTCATGATTTGCATGTATCATGGTGTAAACTCCAGTGCTTTTTCCTTCAGAAAAGCGAATAGGTCCAAACAACTGATACTTTGTAGTTTACGCCATAGTGACTATTTAAACATTGAAAATGAAAGACTAGATATTTATTTTCTGGTATGATACTCAGCAGTTCGTATCCATAATCCAACCAGGGATTGAGTTCAAGGCCTTCAGGCCTTTCAAGGGGTGCTCACCCTTTCAGCCACTAATAATTCTCAACGTCATTTAGATTTTGACACCGTTCATGATTCACAGTCTTATTGACTTAATAAAAAATCGGTTACTAATGCATTACCATCTTCGATTTGTGTTTGTATATAGCCAAGTAACTTAAGAACCATTGGTTATTCAGTTACATATATCCTATTTTTCACAATTGTCTACTTATCTATTTGTTTCTTGTCTAGTTTTGGTGGCATTTACTGGAACCATGTCTTGATCGTTGTACAGAATCTGCTGCACCATCATCATTAGCTGGCCATTTACTCCTTTTATCTGGTTTACTTCATGGTAGTCCATTAAACCAATTAATAATAACTGACGAAATGAAAGAGTTAAAGCGTGACTCATCATTAAATAAGTGTTCTACTAATGTGACTAACGCTTTCGCTAATACTACCAGTACTGCTACTACTTCTGATGATAGTCATTGTATTCATGGGGATGAAACTAATGAAAATAATGATTATCAAATGAAAAGTGGTCATGTCAAGGAGACCTATACACCAATCAATTATAGTACATTACATAAGATTATCTCTTATCTTTGTCAAAATGAATTAATCTCTGTCATATCGATTAATGCCAAAGCAGGTCTATTAGAATGTGTTCAAGTGTGTATTAAACATCTTGAAGAAGCGATTGTTTTATTAAAAAGGAAACAGAACAACAGCAACAACAAGGGGATACTTTAGAAACTTTACAATTGGATGATGATAGTCATAAAAATATTATTCAAGCTACTTATAACGCAGCAAAATTAGTAATTCAAGACAACCAGGTAAGTAAGTAGATAACATTTTTCACTGTATTATGCATGAAGTTGTACATTATATAAATGCTTACGAAACGGGAATGTCCTGGTATTGTTTTCCATATATGGAGCCTTTAAATTATTATTCGTATGTGGATCTCGGTAAACTATATGTTATGCCAGTTTCATCAAACCCCAAACCGATTACATATTAATCCGAACAATCCAACAGTACTACCGACCTCTATAAAAGAGATACAGTTGAAAACCAGGCACTTATGTCTTCACAAGACTTAAATTAAGTTGTTCAGGTTGCCTTCTCAAGCTGATTGGTTGAGCCATTTATTACATATAACAAGTAACCACATATTCTCCTAATTAGTAACTTAAAGAGCAGCTTATATCAATCCGAGTTATCTTTGACGCCTTAGTGCTGTTTGTCTGGCTTTTAAAGATTATGTTTGCAACTCGTTGGTAAGGGCATTTCTGCCCTATGCTTGTAAAACTTGTCCGACGCTAGCCTAGGATATCCAGTGACTCGGTGTTCGATCATAATTGTCTCCGAAAGATAGCTGACATTCGGTAACAACATCACATTGGTAATACAATGTATTTGGGCACAGTGACGATAATTTAGTTAGTATCACCATCTTGAAACAGTGTTCGGTGGCCCCCCGAATGCCCTAGTACGGCCGAGAGTGGGGACAGTTCACTCTCCCTCTCGAAATGCTCTCATATGTCCACGCATATACAGCCACTGTCAGGGAAGTCCTAATTACTGCCTTCTCGAGGCGGGGGTGTTGTTTACGAAGTTGAGAAGATGAACAACAAATGTCTAGCGCTCTGACCAGGTTGGTGGACACGGAGGGTCCGTCTAGGGGAGTTGGAAAACCCTGATTTCAAGCCAATGGTGCACATGAGCTCCAGGATCCTAGAGGAACAAATCGTTGGTCACCGGCTACCATGGGACTTCATCTCCTAATGTTGCTTCACTGCCTTGTGGATCAGACATTTAGGTAGAAGGTTCCGGGTGTAGCCCCCTAAGAAAACCATCTGCTTTGGTTTGGTCACCCGGGTAGTATCACAGTCCACACACAAATCAATTGACTTGTGTGGTGCCCCTTTGTACTAATATTTCTGTGTTCAAATAAATAAATGTTCGATGGCTCAAGCATTTTTCCGAGTCCCATCCCACTGGCTCACAAATCTTACACCATTTCATAACTCTGTGGTGGGCTGGTCATTTTGTGAAATGGAGCTGTAGTATGAAAGAAATCTGTATAGGACTGGGACCTGTCCGTTCATCTTGTCTTTTTGGTCAGGTTCCTAGGGTTAGTTCAACTTTTTTGCTTAGTACTTTGTCAGACTTGGATTAGAATAGAAACCAGTTCTGATCCCGTCATAGTTTCCTTTTACCTTCATAAAAGTGAGAGGTAATCGCTTAACTAAAGGAAGTCTTTTTTGTTTATATTTTTATTTGAACTGTATCTCCTATTATATTGATTCTTGATTATTGTACTCTCCTTCACTCACTCATTCCTTTATAATGTCTTTTTATTTTGTATGTTGCATACCTTCCTTGGTGCTCCGTCGCACCATAATTTATGTATATCGAGTAAATAAAAGAAGTAACCGCAAAAATCTAAAGAGTATTCACAAAAGTATGAGATCTTAGTTTACTTAGTCTACATAGAAAAAGTTATTTACTTATTCGATAAAACTGTGGGAGGGAAACTGGGAACTTATGGTGATGTGGTTTGCAATAGATTACTGCACCTAACGAGTATCCGTTGTTTTTGTAGTTAATAATGTATTTCCCTATTCTGTACCTTTCATCCAATATCTTTTCTGTACTTTTTTGTGTGCATATTTTACAATCCTTTACGACAATGCTTATCATTATTAGGAATATAGAAACCATTATTTCTAATTACCTCTTGTTAATTCTCCGTCACTGCTCTATTTGTTGTCACAGGACATTTTCGATTGTGATATTGTTATAGTAGGTAGAACTCTGTCAGCCCGTTTTGAATTCAGATCATATTATTTGAAATTGCACATGAAAAACGCTGTTGTGCAGTAACTACCCACGTACACAGACACGTCACTCTACTGTAAACCACCGTCTTCGTGTTAACAGTTAATAATACTGCTACCCAGTTGTGAGAGCGGAATAAGGCTGAATGGAGTTCGAAACTATGACCTTGTTAGTTGAGAGCTGAAGCTCTTCAAGTACTAGATAGTTGGCAGTTTCATACACCTTGATAGAAACTTAATTTGTGTTTAGTCGTCCAAAGAAAACCTTTTCGTTCAGTGTTTGTCATTTCCGTTACGCATTGCCCCGAATGTACTGTCCTAAGAGTCTTTTCCACCTTAAATTTAGATCCGTTCATGTTTGTTTGAAATAATTCTTGGATCGGGTGCAATTTGGCCAGAAAATGGTTGATTTCATCAGATTTCGGTCGTACAGTTCTTAGTTCATGTGATAAACTCATGCAATGGTTAGCAGCCTGTCACCGAGACTGTATAAATTTATCCAAACAATATCATCTCCCCACTGAGGAGGGCTTTGAAGTAAATTCAACACCAGTTAGTCATATGGATCAACTGTTTTTCAGCTGTATGCCTAAGGTAAGTTTATTTTTCGTGCGTCGTTAAAACTCGACCACTTTTTGGTAGGTTTATTTTTATCAACTGTATTTATATACATGTATGCGTAATTCATACTACTATTTATAATATCGTTTACATATATATACTCCTTAAGGTTGTTGATAAACCTTGGTCAGCTATGAAGTATATATCGAAAGAGATGACTATAAATTTTAAAAGGTTCAAAACAATATGTATGAAGCGATGACCCATCGATTGTGTGAGAATTCGGTTCACCCACTCAGTGGTCCGAATCCTACTCCAACTACATGAATTATGACAACTGCATAGTATCACTAGCCCCTTTTACTGGAAATATGGCTCAAACCGAAATACTCTAATTTTTATCTGGTAAATGAGTTATGTTATAGGAAAACATATGCAGTAAAATAATAGTTACTTATCAGTAACACAATCCGATTACGTAAAGTAAATAGCACCAGTCCTTTGTTGAAAATACGTATATTTAATGTAAATTCAAACTTTCATTTTCAGTTACATAATTTTTCGTTTTTTCTCTTGCTACTCAGTTAATTTGTAGATTAAATGAAGATTTGAAAAAATCTATTTCATGGAATCCACGTTCAGTTGGATTAGCGATACTTTCACGTTGTTTACAAATAGCTACTGGACCGGCACTATTATTCACATTTAATAATCATGATAATAATAGTCAAACTAAAAAAGAATGTTTAACAGCTGTGCTGGATCTTTTAGAACGTGGTTGTCGATTAAATTGTGCACCCGGTGGCGGTGGTGTCGACAATGGTAGTAGTAATAGTAGTCAGTTTGATAAATCACCCGGCGGTACAGATCCATTAACATTAGCTAGTGAGGCTGAACTTCGTCTACGTGGTTTAATGTTGCTTACAAAACTGACAGATAATAATCAGATTAGAGTAAGTTTACATTATTATTATTATTATTATTATTATTATTATTATTATTATCATTATTATTCATTGTTTATGGTAAATACTGATTGACATCGAGGAAGCCCATCTCAAGATGAATTTGTGCCGACAGAGACTGACGATTTACAGTTCTAAGTATTAAATGCGGGAAGTTATAAACCCTTCATATCTATTGACTATCTGATCAGTGAATAACATCATCTGAATTTTAAATTATTCAGTATTGGATTTTTTCAATGGTATTAGTTATTTAAAGGTTGGTGTAATTGTTGCATAAGTTTTATTTAACAATATTGTGGAATGGTGACTCCCTGTTTAGTGTGTCACAACTACTAAGTCGCAGGTTTGAACCTCGTTCCAACTACTTTGTTTTAGGCGACTGGGTTTAGTTACTGACTTGATATTATAGTGTTGTCAATCATAGCCAAATATTATTACAACATGTACGTACCTATGTAAATTAGTTAACAATTTGAGTAGTTAGTTTTTTCGGATATTTTTATTTCAGATGAAGTTATATTGCTTTTCAACTTTTCAATATTATTATTTCAGTTGTAAAATGTACAAGATGTTTCTACTAAATGTTATTGCTCATACTACATGGTTTGTAGAAATCTGAAGTTTTTCACAATATCAAATTAATCTAATTATGTTTCGTCTTACAAATGGATTAGACTGATGCTGAGAATGCACTTCACAACTGGAGAAACGGCTTTGCAAAAGTTTGATACGGCCTCTCTTCGAGATGTCGATAAGCTCAAAGAATTCAAGAGAGTTCTCAGTAACAAGTTCCAAGCCTCGAAAGACCTACTCAAAAAAGAGGAAACTAATACGGAGAACAACTGGAAACGGATCAGAGAAGCACTTGCTTCAACGTGCCAGGAGGTGCTGGGCCTCAAGAAGCATCATCATAAAGAATGTATCTCGATCGAAACTCTGGGTAGGATTCAGGGAAGAATGAACAAGAAGACACCAATTAATAACAGTTGAACAAAAATGGAGAAAGTGAAGGCACACTCAGAATATTCAGAGGCAAACAAGAGAGTGAAGAGGAGCATTAGAGCTGACAAGCTAAAATACGTTGAAGATCTACCAATGGCAACCGAAAAAGCTACAAGAGAAGGAAATATGCGACAACGACATGATGCAACGAAAAAACAAGCAGGAAAATATAGCAAACTAGAGAGACCGGTCAAGGACAAAGAAGGCAAGCCAATCACTAAGATTCAAGAACAGAGGAACAAGTGAGTAGAACACTGAAGAAATCTTGAATAGGCCAGCCCCACTGAACCCATCGGATATCGGGGCAGCACCTACAAACCTTCCTATAGCTGTCACTCCACCAACGATCGAAGAAATCAACATGGTCACTAGACAAATCATGAGTAGAAGAACAGCAGGACCTGACAACGTACCAGCCGAAGCACTGAAGTCAGGCGTACAGGCAACTGCAGAGATACTCCATGTTCCATTCAGGGAAATTTGGGAGGAAGGACAAGTGAAAACAGACTGGGAAGGAAAACATCTCATCAAGATACCGAAGAAAGGCGATCTGAGCAAGTGTGAGAACTACAGACATCACACTACTATCAGGAACAGGAGAAGATTTTAAACAGATCGTTGTCAAATCAAATGGAAGATTCAGTAGACGCCCAACTTCGAGATCGGCAGGCTGAATTTCGTAAGGATCGATTGTGCACCGACCTCATCGCGGTACTACGAATCATTGTTGAGCAATTAATTGAATGAAACGCGTCATTACACATCGAATTCCTTGATTTTGAGAAAGCATTTGTCTTTAACATTATGGTGTACCTGAAGAGACTGTCAATATCACACAATTCATAAGACAGAAATTACTTCAAAGCGCTGCATGGATGGCAGCTGATAGGCGCATTCCAAGAGAGGACCGGTGTCAGACAAAACAACTTACTTCCGCTCTTTCTATTTCTTCTGGTGGTCGACTGGATTATGAAGGCCTACACATCTGAGGGGAAGCACTGAATATAATGGACAGCTTGGATGCAGCTTGACGATCTGGACTTCACAGACGACCCAGTTCTCCTGTTCCATACACCAACAAATGCATATGAAGACAGGCAGTATGCCTCATCATACACGAGGTAAAAATCATGATGGTGAAATGCACAGAAAGCACCAACCTAATCACATTTGATAGAACAGTACTGGATGTGGTGGAAGCGTTTACGTGTTTAGGCAGCATTCTTGATAAACAAGGATTATCCGATGTAGATGTAAAGGAAAGGACTGGAAAATCAAGGATAGCATTCCTACAGTTGAAGAACATATGCAACTAAGAATAACTGTCAGCCAATACCAAAGTCAAAATCTTCAATATAAACGTCAAGACATTTCTATTGTGGAGAGTTGAAATTTGAAAACTACAACTATCATCAAAAAGGTACAGGTATTTACAAACGATTTTTTACGCAAGATATTCAATGTCCGTTGACCGGATACCATCAACAACAGCCTACTATGGTAGAGAAGAAAACAACTTCCAGCTAGAGAGGAAGTTAGGGAAAGACAAACATTACAGAAATCATCAGACTGCATCACGAAACAATCCCCAACTTGGAATCCCGAATTCATGAGGAAAAGAGGTGGACGCAAGAACACATTGCGCCGGAAATCAAAGGCAGGCACCAAAAGAATGAGTAGCAATTGGAAAGAACTGGAAAGGAAATCTGAAGATAGAGTTGGTTGGAAAATGATGGTCAGCAGCCTATGCTGCATCCAAATGTTTAATCCACATTAGTAAGAGGAGGTTTTTAACCCTCCTCTGTTCTTTAAATTTTTGATAGGTGGGTGTCTTAATAACTAAACAATTATCACTTCAATTCAATTATCTCATGGTCTACGTCACAAACTGACTCTGGACAAACATTAAAAACTAAAATGTCCTGAACAGCTGTAATATCTTAGTGTAAGACTCTTTAACAATGTACATTCACGACCTCACCTTAGATCAATCCTAGGAACTTCATTTAGTGCATTTGACGCTTAACTTTCAAACCACTAAGATGACATCCACTGGTACAATTCCATCTTCAGTTAATTCACGATATATTTGACAGTTTATTTTGTAAAATGACATTGTCACATATCTGACACTTGAACCAATTTAAACCTTTTTATCTTTTTCTTTTTAAATTTTAACTTTCCAGAAAGTATTATCATCTCCAAAATATTTGAACTATTGTTTTTCTAAATTAATTTTACCTGTATGTGTATGGAGAGCTGGTCGTACATCAGAAGCCATGCGAAAAGCAGCTATTACAAGTTATTTAGCATTATTAGCTAGTGCTGTATCAATGTATCATTTATCTGAAATTGTTTTGAATTTACGAACTAACAGTGAAATCAACATAGATAATTGGCTTTTAACTAACAACATTGAATCTATGCATGAGATTATGCAAGAGTTAACAAATAGAGAGGAAGTCTGTGATATTAATAATACTAATAGTAAGTTAATTATCCTTAGTATACTATCATAATAGGTGTATGGTATTTGTCTAATTTTCTAGTCCATCAACCGAAGGATGAGTTTACTGCACAGCAGTTCTCTCTATTCTACTTTATGGGTATGAACCATGCCCATTTCTAATAGAGGATATTTGTAGGTTACTAGTATTCACTAATAGGTGTCTTCGAAATATCGCTCGTGTATTGTGGGGCCACTGAGTGGGCAACGCTGAGGTTACGTGTAAGGTACTAGGTAAAGAAGGCAAATTCGTTGGTGAGGTAGTGAATCTCCATCAACTTAGGTGTTTGTGACGTATGTGCTTATACCCAACCGCCGCCTACCTTAACGGGAAGTGTTGTTTGGTGTAGGAGTAGACTGGAAGAAAGCTATAGTGACGAAAACCAAGACGACACCACTCCATGAAATGACTGACAATTCAATTGAGCTATGTAACTAGGTGGAGACTATCTATTATAATTTGTAGCATTGTGCCCTTTCAATATATAACGTAATGATACCAGCAATCAGAGAACAGCGACTTATCGACCGGACCAATGACACATAAACCCTTACGAGCAGTCTAGATTCTTTATCGGCCCTTCTTCCTGATATTATTATCATGCCCACCACTTTACGATTTGCCTCGATAATTTTATCTAGCTGTGTAGTGTAACAACTTGTACGTGTGCACTTGCGTCAGATTTTACATTGATCCTCACTGACTGAACTTACATCACGGACAACCATTAAAGACCAAGAAACACTAGATAGCTGATTTATCTTAATACGAGACAAGTATTCATTCTTATCAACCTATTTACCATATTTGTCTAGTACTCTGAGCCTTACTTAAACTGCCACTCGACGTTCCCAATATACACGATCCATTGATTTAAAACACTGATTATCAAATTACTAGTAGCTTATATATGCTTTCTACTTCTCAAGATCATGTTTGACAGCCGTAAAAGGTTGAATAATGCATGTTTCGTAGTGGATGTCTCATTTGTGAATTGTAAACGGATTAAAATCCGTAAGAGATTTACATAGAAACTGTTTACTATGGTGAAAATTGACTTATTTTTTTTGAAATCATTGTTTTATATTTTATTACTAGACGTGAGGACTGAATGTTTCTAATGACGGTATAAATAATGTGGCGTAGAAATATTGTGTTTTCAAAGAATACTTTGATAGAAAAGACGATTTGTATATCAAAACTGTATACTTAATTGCTTTCTCGCAGAGGGTTTTTTTAATGAAATTGTGAGAACGAAAAGCGAATGTTCGACGCTTTAACCGGATTGGTGGATATTGAGAACCCACCTAGGGAGGTCGGGAAATCCTGATTCTAAACCAATACTGCATATGAGCCCCAGGGTCCTGAGGGAACAAAAGGCGTATGAACCAATCGTTGGTCGCCGGCTACCATGGGACTGCGTCCCCTAACGTTGCTCCACTGCCTTGTGGATTAGACCTTTAGATTAAAGGTTCCGAGTGTGATCCCCTAAGAAAGTCACCTACTTCGGTTTGCACACCACTGCAGTATCACAGCCCACACACAAAGCAATTGACTTGTGTGGAGTATATGTATTCGGTGCCCTTTTGTACCAATGTTTATATGTTTAAATAAATGAATAAATGTGAGGTATCAGTTCAATAATTGATATCACATATAATCGATTTCATTTAGGGTTGCTCACAACAGCGATTACATTCTTCCAATGTAGTCCTGCTCTTACTAGCCTGGCACCTTGAGATAGGCAGTGGCCTTCATATATACCTTTCACAAATCTTCAACAGGTACAACTTTATAACCTCTTTAATTGATTGATCTATGTTACGTGCTTAGAACTTTACTTCCAACTTGTATAAAGATGTCGTGCTCGCCACTCGACCTGTAAATTATGTGTTCGATCTTGTGTGTGCTAGTCTTTAGTTCTCTCAACTGATATCGTCAGTCCGTAGTGTGAACTGTCCTTAATTCATTGATTGTAATCACTTCATATATTTTTTCTCACAATTCTATTTATTTAATTATTTACAGCTAACAATGAGATACAATCCTTTCCAAAATATAGTAATCTACCAAGTTTATCTGGCTCCTTGTTATCTTTGATGTTGGCACGTTTAGGCTCATTATTAGATGATGATTTGGAAGGGACTAGACGTTTAGCCTGTCTTTGTTTGACAATATTCTTTAATGGTCTTCTTATACCTTCACCACCAATATCACCGGCCTCTTCATCATCGGTGGAGTTAGCTAACGGTAATCAAAATCATTATGAAGGAAATCGAGTTATAGATTTTCTCAATTCACCTACATGGATTCAACCGCTTACTACTACTATTACTAATACTGTTAGCAGTAGTAATCATGAATTGGTCAAAGAACATAATGTATTATTGCCTTATTGTCCACTGGCCAATTCATTTGGTGATCAAGTCTATCGTTTCTATGGTAATTTTGTTAAGCGTCTTAATGATTCGAAAGATCAAGTAAGTTCTTTCCCATTACTGACCTCATTGACTATTATTATTATTATTGTTATTATTATTATTATTGTTATTATTATTATTGTTATTATTATTATTATTATTATTATTATTATTATTATTATTATTATTATTATTATTATTATTATTATTATTATTATTAGTTACTGCATTGACAATAATAAGATTTACGTCGTAGTTAAATATCAATGTAGTCAAATGAATAGTTCCATATATTAGAAGAAAGAATAATTAATCATATAGTTACATGAACGGCTCACTTAGACTTTTTTCTTCTTATTGCTAATACAATTTTCAGATTCTGTTTTTACAATTTCGTTAGCGTAATAATATTGTAAATCAAGTTTTACTATAATTCTACCGTTTAGTAACTTGCGGACATATTTCACTGGAATATTCCCAGTTCAGGGTAAAAATTGGAAGGAAACAAAAATATATATGCCAAAACTCGAGCGGCAAAAGATACAGTGGCAAAATATTTCTATGGGTTACCATTGAATAAACATGAAAATCTGATAACTTAAGTCCATCTGTAGGCGCTAACCAGTTTCATAATGGACTAGTCAGCGCTTCTCATCTTGATCTTAGGCATACAGTACACGAAATTCTATTCATCGTAGACTAGTTTCATTTGGGGTATGACTAAAATTCATGAAGCACTAGACTGCTGTTACATTCTAGTATGCGATTCCTCAACAGTGCTCACGCAATGTCGAACTGGGGATCGAAACACGACCTGTAGGTCTTGTGGTCCAGCGGTGCAATTTCAAATTTAATCAGTTTGTGATTTAGTTCAACGATCGTACACTACCATAGGTACCTTTTCTGAACATCATTTGTCACGAATTCTTTCTAGAACTTCATTAGCATCTTGAAGTAAGTTACTGTTGAGCTAAATGTTATAGTTTAGTTTTTAGTTTAAACAGTGCTATTGTCAAATTATGATGAAAAATTCTGTTATTTCGTGGATAAACTTTCTCCTTGTATCTTGGGTTTGGAGACTGCTGCATGTATATTCAGGCTTAAACATCTGAGTACTTTCATTTTTTGAACCAAGTAGCTGGTTGAACTCGCGAATAAGAAGCTTGTTTTTTGACATTGGAACCGGTCATCTCACAACACAATTTCATAGATATTTATACAGTTATACCTTGTTGCTGTCAACAGTAATTATATATATATATCAGTATAGGGTTGTGGTGATTGTTGAGTTTTTGATTGAGATCATGAATCGATCATTGTTAGGCCATCACTGAAAATCTGGAAACACTGAACAGCCGTTTCGTCCTAGTTTGGGACTCCTCAGCAGTGCTCATCCACGATCCTGCACGCGGGTTTCGGACTCAAGACCTTCACTCGCGCGTGCGAACGCTTGACCTCTATATGATTGTTTATTTTGGTTTCTGCATACACTAGGGTACTGAAAGATTATGAGGGAGGCTTATGATTTTGTGTCAGTCAGTGATCCAGACACTTGTATTTGGACATGGAGTTCAAGTAATTCGAATTACGGTTTCAATTTTTATGTTGCCTGTTATACCCCGAAACTCAGTACTTAATTGTTTACTTGATCTCTGAGTTCTGTACAGATATGATTATAGGTTTCAATCAATCCGTTGGTGATTGTTTGCAATGCATATCTCTCATCACTGGTTACCATAATGGGTTTTTTATTAGAGTTGGGTAAAATGGCTAGGAATGGATGGCTAAAACGATAATGCGTCACCAAGTCAGTATGTCATTGGATCCCGATCTGAGCTATGTTTGGAAATTTAGACTTTCTGCTTGAGGTTCTCTCGTTAGTAGTAGTTGTTAGTAAGATTTTTACTTCCATATTCTGAGCAGTCTCAAGTCGAAGTACGCTGATTGGTTGATTTTCAATCAATCAGTGCTACTGAATGATTCGAGAGCCAGTAAATTCTTATGTGAATCTTGCATAATTTCTGTCTTATTTGTACGGGTTTTGTGGAATATATCTGCGCTGTCAATCCGTGTTCTAACTTGGAAGAAGTCAAGTGAATTATGGTGTCTGTGGAATGCTAAATAATAAAAGATTCATAACAGCAATTTATATTTATTCGAAATTTTGATCCTAGTGTCATGTCATTCATCAAATTCATTCGTTCTCGGTGAACTATATTTCTTACGTTCAGTTTCGCATTATCGTCATGGTTTATGTTATTATTTCAGTTCATCCTCTTTCCAACCTGCCTCCTTCTTTTTAATTATTTTCATGATGTAAGATTGGTGAATTGGATCGATTTAGTTTTGTTCTGTCTATGACTGACTAGTATCACTGCTCACTCTTTGACCCAATACATTGGCTTGTTCCTGTAGTGTAACGGATCCGTCACGCTACAATAATTATAACTATTCTGACTCGTTATACCCATTTACTAGCTGCAACTTCATGTAATTAGTTTCAAGCCACTCTCTAAATGTGAGAGCTATTGATACTACCTACGTTTTGAAAGTGAATTTGGTAATGTAGCATTCGAATCTGGAACGTATTGGTTGATAATCAAGCACTTTAATTAATAAAGCATTGCTTGTTCACTCTTACGGAGATCCGATCTTAGGTATGTTATGTTTAAGTAGTCTGATTTATCCACTCGAAATCAGCTTTAATGTCAAGTATGTTGGAGAGTCTAACGAAATGATTGAATTATGCTCAAAACTCCAATCTGTAAATCGGTATTATTATTTCAAAATAGATGTAAAATATTTACAAACTTCAATTCTTTATATGTCTGTAGTGTTCGTACGCTGCAATCTATGTAATCGAAACAGTGATTCTTCCTGGAATAGGTGTATAAAGATTATTTACAAACATATCGTAATCCACATATCAGCTATTAGCTGTGTCGAAATTTACAGTAGCTGTCAATAATCGGAACTCTGACTAAAAACACAAAACTTGGAAGCTGTTACATCTGAAAAATACTCAAAGAATGTATTACATGTAAATCAATTATCACTTTTCTATAATAAATAAGGAGAATATTGCAGATTCATTCAAACAATTCGTAATTATGCTACTCAGCAACCCAGATACGTTGCACATCATGTCGTAAACTTGATCGAATTTGATATTACTTACTGAGTCTTATTAAGTAGTATAATTTAGCAAGCAAACTTTATAGGGCATGAAAGCAATAAGTATCACAGCTATCAAGCAGTACTAACATATGGTTTGTTCCGTCTTTTTTCTTTCTTTCCGGATTTATAACTAGATAAGATTACTTATCTGTGAAACAATCAATGCATGGATTCGTCTACTTATTCCAATGTTAACATCATCATCAACAACCGGTAAAACATCTCAGCAATTAAATCCAGTTTATACTGCTGTTATAGAAGATTTCCTAAATAATCTCATTATTCATTTAGATGATCCTAACTCACGAATACGTGCCAGTGTATCACGTGTTCTCTTGAGAATCAATCAATTCGCTCCAGATCTGGTGATTAAAGTTTTAAACAAAGCTAAATTATGTCATCGTTCATCTCAATTATGTGATAAACTATTAGAATTTTGTCATTCACATTCTCAGTAATGTTCACAAAAAAGAATTATCGATAAAATGACCGAGGTAAATGAGGAACAAGTGATAAAACGATTGAAATTGTGAAGTGGTAATGGCTACATTTTTGGATAATCTATGCTCCCACATATCTAATTAAGTTTTACACTGCTGTTGGCAAAATCTTTTTCTAATTAACTTTTGTTTTTATTGGTTAATCTTTGTGTTACAACATTTTAATACAAAATGTACAACTTATGACGATAGGTTACATATATTTTTTATTTATTTATGTGAAATTACAAGTGAATAAAAGAAACTACTACTGAGAATGTTGTTCCTTTTTTCGGTGTTTCTTTTTTGTTTTTGGATTATTGGGTGTTCAGTTTTTCACCTTTAAATCATATATACATGAATTGTAGTTTTTGCGCTAACTGACAAATATACACACAAAGATATGTGTATGTATGCACTTTTGTATGTATTTAATGGGTGCTTCCTGGTATCACGTTATTTTTTTTACGTTTACTAAGGTAATCCAGTAAAGATAGACTTTACCGACGATTTTCAACGAACAATCAAAATAATAAAAGCTGATTTTAGATATTAAATACAAATTAAAAATGCCATTATGAATAGTTTATTGTTGGATATCATGTTTTTGATTAGATTTTGAATTTTTGACGGATTGGATGAACAGTTTTTTGTGTAACGAGTTATTAAGTTTAGAAGGTAGACGTTAAGATTGGGTTGTTAGAGTTAGGCGTACAAGGATTTTAAAACGTTAAGGATACTAGGATTTATAGCCCAATATACGGATAATCACCCCGTAATAGGTTCATTAATCATCTTTAATCCCTATATCATGTTTTCTGGAATAAAGAGCTCTTTCATAAAAGCTGCATTCCGATTGATTAGGTCTTGGATCAGTTTTGAAATCCCTTTTAGCTGTCAGTGTGCCATACATTTACCTATAATGTATTAGATTTATTGGTATTTAGAAGCTTTTCCAAACTTCCATTCGACTTTTAGTTTGTATTCTAGTGATAAAGTTTATTGTAAATAATGTGGAATGTTGTAACCGAGCGACCAAATGCTGGTTTGCTCATTCAACTCTGCGTCATATTTGGGGTTTAAATGTTTTTAAAGTATTGCTAGTGGTTAGATTTCTAAACTTTCAGCCACTAAGTCTTGGGTTTAAACCCTGCCACATCTCCTTCGGTCAGACTAACCGGTATTGTATTAGTATCCAAACACTTAGTTAATTTATAAGTTATAGACTTTAGAGTACAAGTCAAAAAATTTAAACCATGCCCCCCCTTACAATGCAGGCCAGCACAAGGCTTAAATTGTAAAAAGACTAGGTACAACGAAACCAACACGACGTCAGTTCGTGAAGTTATTGGCTGCTAGCTGGTGCAGACCAACGACGTGATTAGATGTTGGTAACGTTAGCATAGCACCAAAGAGGGTTGCAATGATAGTAACATATGCCTTCTTAGCTTTCCAAGTTTAACGTTTCAATATTATTCCACTCATTAAATTCTTCGTTATTTGTTTTCGAACCGTATTCTTTGCTTAGTTTGTTCACGGTAATTGACACTACGATTATTTTGATTTCTTTCCTATTCGCCATGTTAATTTTAACTCGCTATCATGTGGTGTTGTGATTTTAATAGTTTTATATCTGTCCCAAGTCGTTTTTTGTTCACCATTTGAGACTGAATTTCTTCCGTTGTTTGAGGTCTAATCATATTAATCAAAGCGAAGTGAGTTGAATGCATATTCATCTGTCACCTAACGAGCGATCGTTGTACTCCTGTATGCGTAAAAATCACTATACATAACCTCATTGATCGAGTAACATTTTTAGTTAGTCGTAGTCTCTGTGGTGTATCCATGGAGTGATGGTACAACTGGTCTCCCGAATTCCAGTCGGAACAACAGATCGTGTGATTTAAAGTCTTACGTTTTTAGTACTTACACATTCACAAAAAGTACCGTTCGATATGTATACACATTTCAAACTCGCTAACATTTTAGTATCACGTTAAACTGTAATTCATATTACTTGCACGCAAATCAATTGTTTGAAACCTTATTCTTCAACACTATCAAAACAGTCAATAAAATAACGCTTTTACAGTTTGATTGATAATAGTTGGGACTATCCTCTTATTTTTGACTGAAATTCGATCGGACTTATTTGGCGCATATGGAAACAAGTTTATGTAGACTAAATGGAATGTGACTAGCAGTGGAATCCAGGACTCTCATTTCGTCCTATTTGAAACTCGTCAGCTGAATTTGCCTGAATCCCAGCGTTGATATCCACTCTGTGATCTGAACGGAACACAAGTGAGTAGCTGTCTGGATTCAGTAATTAGACAGATGACACGTTGGCGTCTGGAGACATAGGTAATGTGTTTGAATCCTAGAGTAAACACTAACTCGGATAGAGTTACTTCCAGCTGACGAGTCTATAATCAAACAAAACTCTCATCCTGTGTTTTGTTGTTGGCCACATTCCATCTACTTTATGTAGCGATATTTTTACTATTTGATTGAAAATATACGGTACTCTAAACTGAAAAAGTTCAAATTATTCAAAAACAACTAAACGGAACTTTCCACCAAATGAGAAACAAATGTTATGAAAACGATTAATTGTACTCTATATTAAATTGAGTCTGTTTAAGAAATCTAATACTATTGTACTCATATCGAGTATTATATCGGTTAGGTTCTGAGTTTCCATGAACCGATTCTTTGATATTCCTTGCATTTCTACATAATTAACTTGTAAATTATAATTAATTATAAGTATCATAATTGCCGAACAGGTTGATGACTCAGTAGCTTGAAAACAAACGCTGTTGTTCATAGCTACAGGTTAGGGGTCTCAGTTTCATTTAGCATAGCAATAACACGGATGTATCGACATATGACTAATGAGTCTTGAATAAGACTGGAGTTGCAACTTGTATTTTATTATTTGACTACTGTTCAAAATAATTATTATTTTATACTATTTTGAAATGTGTTAAATTTTAGTCAAGAATTTCTCGATTTCATCTTCCGTCGTAAAACATATTTCTTGATGCAGTGAGTTACTCATATAGATAAAAACCAATAGCATGGAAGATGTTGGCTTGAAAATATTGAAAAAATATCAGAATTCTTAGAAACTCAATATATTCAAGTTGACCAATGATCGATAAACGAAACTGTATTCATACATTTTACTTAGTAATCATCCAGGACACTGCAAAATAAATTATTGTCATCCTATTACAATAAGCATCAAGACGTCTGTAGTATGAGTAATTGTTGCCAGGTGCCAAATAATAAAGCCTAATTAGCTGCAGTATATGTTCTTCAGTAAAAAGCTGTACAATAAACTAAGTTATTCAGTTAAACAAGTATGGAACTACCAGTGTGATACCTTTAAAAATCATGACTAGCTTTCAATGTCGAATAGAAACAGTTTAGATAGGAATTTACATTTAAAGTATATTAGTTGTTAAGAAAAGATCTTTTACTCAACACAAAATTTCTTCCCATACCCACGTGACTTGTTTTAACCTTAGGACATAAACTATTCTAATCTTCCTACTTGTACTGTCTATATGCATGATGCATTTTCTAAGATCCTGCTGAAGCCTACAATGGATTTAAATCATTTCAAATGTCAAATTGTATCATCTACAAGTTTTGTGACTTGTGATAATTACTCTTAATGTGTCAGTTGTCGACGAATATAAGTAATTTCCGATTGATATTTACTGAACTGAATCAATTTAGTGCCTAATCGCGTGTCATTTCTTTGTTTAAACGGTTTTTGATAGATAGATAGTAATTCGATTCTAGACTCAATATCCACTACCAATATCGAGTTAAAGACTGATTTGAGAAAATTTAGCATTTTTATGTTCTTGTTACATGAACTTATATTGGTTATTTTCTTCAGTTGAACAAATCTATCTATACCCAAGTTTACACTTTACAATTATTTTATCTGTGTACAGAGGCATGAAAACAAAACTAATATGGCTCCTACTAATCATATACCACATACGTTAAAACAATCACTATCAGCCAATAAGAAACAAGATCCATTATACATTGATTATCATATGTTAGCTGACATTTTACCGAAACCGCCCGAATTACCTATACCAAATGAGCCGAATTTTATTCCAAATGAATTATATGATTTGACAATCAGTAAATATCACAATGATATGAAACGTTGCATCGATGTTTATTCACAGGTAAAATTAGATCGCTCTCAGTGAATGTAGTTTGTATTAATAGTTTTGTGAAATTAAAAGTAAACAAAAACAGTGTAATGTAGTTTTCAAGAAGGCGAATTTCTTTTCTTGTTTTTTACTTGTGTGATAGAGTTACTTATAATAAGAGCAGATAATTATTGTGGCCGTCTATTGATTAACTTTCTCTGTTTCGCTTATAGGCACAGTTATCTACTATACCAACGATACAGTAACCAATAGAGATTGGTTGAACTTATAAGCGTGAATCCTTTCTTTTTATCCCAATCGTATCATGATCTTTGTCAACTAAATATCTCAAGTTTATTACTATGTTTCGGCCATTGGTGTATACTATTGCTGAGTCACAAACTAAAACGAAACACTTACTTACGCCTGTTACCCCTCGTAGAGGAGCATAGGCAGCTCATCAGCATTCTCCATCCAACTCTATCCTGACAATCCTTTCCAGTTGCTATTCATCCTTTTCTTATCTGCTTCCAATTCTTTGGCCTTTTTTCTGTTTCCCTTCAGTATCTCAAGTTAGCCCTTGTCTCGTGATGCAGTTTGATTATTTCCACAATGTGTGTCCTATCCACTTCCAACGTCTTTTCCTAATTGTCTCTTCAGCTGGAAGCTGGTTTGTTCTCTCCCACATAGAACGAAATACTTACCATATATCAAATGGCTTCTAATAATTCTTTGGTTTATATTCATATGTGTTACCAATTACCTTCAAAATGAGTAAATCATTACAGACGA